TTTTTAAAATAAAAATTATATTTTAGCTTTGTGGATCGGCACTGCGGCTGTAAACTGAACCTTTTCTTTAATTGGCTTCACGTGCCTCGGACTTGGACTCTTCCCCTCCCCAATCCCAAATGCTCCACACTCACTTCTCTCTCTCCCACTATCCCTCTTCTTCCCTCAAGACGCCATCACCATGAAAAAAAGACGAAAAAGAATCAAGCCCCACTCCCCTCTCCTTCTGTAACTACTCAGTTTTTGCCTCCAACTTCCCTTCTTCTTCTTCTTCTTCTTTTGTACTCCAAAATCCAACAACAAAATGTGTTATGTAGGGAAAGCAACAAAGATCTTCATTTTCATTGTGACTGTACTTGTAATTCTTGGTCTTGTCTTGGTATTTGGCCTCTTACGCCACCACCGTCATCAATCACAAAACTGCACTGATGATTCCTGTCAATCTCCTCACTTACCCTTCCCTACTCCTCCTCTTACTGTGCCTACTGGGCTGACCCCACTTAGTCCAATGGGCTTCTCCCCGCCCAGCCCATCATATTCTGGGTCCACCCCACCACCAAATCCACCGGACAGTGATACACCTCCTCTTCCACCCCCACCACCTCCTCTTCCGCTCCCACCGCCACCTTTTCCTCCTCCTGCTGCTCCAGTTACAAATGGGGCTCCACCACCGACTAATAATCCGCCGAGCAGTACTGTGTTTGTCACTCCAGGTCCTCTGCATGCTTAGCTGTTCTTTACTATCATGGCCCTTTTCTTTTCCTTGTATTTTGAATTTAATTTTTAGTGTCATTTTTTTAGGATAATTTTTTTTTTGGGATTGTACAGGGATGGTTGTTCGGGTTGTGGATTGTAACGAAGGATAGTGATTATTATAATTTCTTGAGCATTAGTGAATTCACAGAGCTGTCCCTGAATTTTTAGAACAAAAACAATAATCATGTTCTGGCTTTTTTCCCCTTGAGAATGTTGTTTTTCTTGCATTTTTCTCTTAATATCTAGTAGTATACTAACAATTTAGTTAAATATTGTGAAAAGAAATGTTTTGCACTTGTGGTAAATGGAGTCAAAATGGGGCCTTAAAAGTCGTGAAAGGTTTAGAATCCGAGGCAAGTGGTCTTCACTAGTCAAAGAGGAGAAAAAGGCACTGCCATGACAGGTGGTGTCTCCTATGGTTTTTGGCTCGGGTTATTATTGGATGTCTGGTGTTTACAGTGATGTCAAGGAATCTGCAATGGAAAAGGTTGCCATTAAAAAGTCATTGATGGTTACGCTCTGCACTCTGCAGATATTCTCCTCCTCCTTTTTTTAATGTTCTTTCATGGATTCTTCTTGGCACAGGTTTCGCCTTCCCATGTGAGACCAGACAGTGTTTCATTGACATGGTGATGTGTTGGAGTCACTTGTAGCTCACAAGCTCTTAGGTCATGGAGGTTTCAGTATCATCATAGTTGTAACAGTATTATGGTGATGCCTTTGAAAGCGATTTAAAAGTCGATTAATATTTTTTTATTGGTTTTGATGGGTTGCTATATATATATATATATATTTTTTTTTTTGAGTAATGTTTTTTTAAAATATATTACATTATAATACTAAACATACCAGTATATTGAAAAAAATAAATAAAAAACAATAAATTTATATAACTTTTTTTAAACCCAAGTTTTTATTATAATTTTTGGTGAAAAGCGAGTTTAAACAATGAAAAGCAAACAACTTTTAAAATTATAATTATATTAGCATTATATTCAATCATAACAATATCAAATGGAGCCTAAGCTATCATGAATTAGTTATTAGCTTAACTTGAAAAATCATTTCAAGTTAAAATAGAAAAATATATTATTTTGTATGGTTGACTAAATTAAATTTTTATTTACTTGGTTAACCAAGTTCAAACCAAATAAAATTAATTTTAAAAAAGTTTAATTTTAAAAAAGAAACAAGATGTTTTAATAAAAATATTCATCTAGAGGTTTATGGATTAATTTATTAAAAGTAAAGTAATAGTTGTTTTTAAAAATATTTTTTATTTTAAAATATATTAAAAATAATAATTTTTTAATTTTTAAAAATAATTTTTGATGCTCACATATCAAAATAATTTAATAATATAAAAAAATTAATTTTAAGTAATGTTTTTTAAAAAACTTTAGGGAAACGCCTGTAATTCGAAATTGCTCCTTAATCAATTGGACAAGCCCTTTTTCACATAAGATTTGACAGCTTTGTTCAAGATTCGAAGAGATTAGGTAAATGTGAAATAATACATGGTTAAAAAAAAAAATATATACAATTAGCAACGCCATTATGTTGCGCAAGCTTTATCGAGGAGCAAACGGCTTGGCATGTCTCCCAACAAAGACAATCACAGCACATAGACGTACATGAGGGCCATTTCCTTGGGTGGCGTGCTTGATTTTTCGGAGGACTTGTGAAAAGGAGACTAATTTCCAGAAATGATGGCCATTTCATGTGGCCTTGTTTTTTACTGTTCATAACAGTCTGTTCCTTACACTGGCTTTAGAACTAGACCAATTGCTTGAGGCAATGATTATAATGTAAACAAAGTGCTGGAATCTTTAGCATGGTTTGTTATTGGATTTCATTCTAAAATAAACTAACCTGTGTGGCTGAAATGAATTGTACCAGAAATCTCATGGTCCCTGACAGAACAAGAGAGTAATTTGGCTCTTATGGAGTTATGGTTTAAGCCTTGCTAAGGAATTAGTGATCTTGAATTGCCCTTGTTTATTGCAATAAATGCATTTATCGGTCTTGTGTCAAGGGATATACTAATCAAATATTTGTTTATGTTGAGAACTGAATCATTCAATTCATTTGGCTCCAAAGCCTGTCAGGAGAAATTGCTGAAAAGGTAGCTGACAGAGAGGCTTGTTGATCATGATCTTCTCTCATTAAGTATTCTGTCCCTTAGATTTCACTTTTCACATTGGATTTGGGGATAAATCCAAGGTTTTGAATGAGAAGCAGAGGCTAAAGGCAGACAAAGAGAGGTTAGAGTGTCAAGACTCAAGTCAGAGCTATCTCTTCATCACCAAGATTTCTGCCTCGTACCTTGCAATTCCTGTTGCATTTGCTTCCTAAGAACAAGCTTCTGGTAACAAGATTATGCCTTCCATCAGCTACCTTGGTGTTGCAATGTGGCTCATGACACTTGTTGCAGTTGACACAGCTGAATCTCACATGTCTAGCCTCCCAGTTGCTTAATTTGGAAAACATTCATGATGGTATGTATACTTCATGAGGATGGTTGATTCATTTTTTGTTGTCATTTCCAAGCTGCATATACTAGTATTTAAGTTATGAAAAATTGAGCTTAGTTAGGCTTGCAAGGAACTAGTGAGGGGAACTGATAGGTTAGAGCAGATAGACTACAATGTGACAAGCAAAAACCAATATTTTGATCCTGCTGAGTCAAGGTAACCAAAGCCAAATTCTTTCCTTCATCTTCTCTGTACGAGTAAAGGTTCCTAAAGGTCACCTGTAATCAAAGTTATCTTGAATTGTCTTAGAATTTAATGTTCAGGTCTGCCTCAACTCTTTATTTCTTTGGTTAAACCTTCCCTCAGCATGAACTAAGCGCGGATGCGTGCATGCTTGACAGAAATGGTATCAAGGTACACTTTCTGCATTTAGAAGATCAATTGTTTTATATAGAAGATCATGGGGAAAGTTCGAGTGCTTTATAGAAATGTAATCGAGCTAACTATGGGTCTGGGATAGGCAGAATTTCAGATGGTGGCAGAAGAGTAGTTAATCAGGTCAGTTACCTTTTCTGATGGTTGAGCAGGAATCAGATTTCTGGACGGTTATTATTTGCATGTTGCAGTGATTCATTTGCAGATTGATGATGATCCCAGTCCCATTTGTAGATATTAATGCAAAATAACAATAATTAACTGTTTTTCAAGAATGTTTCATTCGAATTCAGAAAACATCAGATACATTGAAAGAAATACAAGGAAAGTATGCTCATGCTCAAGCATAAAGTATTAACTAAAAATTTGAGTGTCTGGTGAATTTCTTTCAATGCTTAGTTAGCAAGAAGTATCGTCATGATAACCAGGCTGATGCCCATTGTGAGACTGCTTTGCAAACTTTCTTCGCTAGCTGATGATGGGAGAGGTGTTTTCATAAAACCATCTATAGAAGGGGTAATTGCAGGAGATGTAGCACTGGTCATTGTTGAGGTACGCAGCGCTGGAGGAGGCATTGTTGGAGTCATTTCTGGTGATTGTGATGGTGAGAGATCATAAATTTCAGGAGGTGGAGAGGAAGCGGGAGGAATGACGGTGGAAGCAGGTGGTAGAGTCGAAGTAGTTGGAGGTGATGGAAGGCTTGGTGAAGCTGGTGGTGGAGTTAAGGGAGAGGCTGGTGGCGGGGTTAAGGGAGAGGCCGGTGGTAGGGTAGAAGTTGCAAGAGTGTCTATTTCAAGCTTCATACCTCCGGCACAATGTCCTGGTGTTGCACAGGTGAAGTATCTCTTGCCAGGAGAAGAAAGAGGGATGACTGTTTTGCCCCCACTATATGACTGTAGTGGGCTCGTTGTCTGGCAGGAGTCATAGCCTGCCTTTGAAACTTCAATCACATCATGCATGAGTCCATACTGGAAGACTGAAATAGATAACGAGTTAGTCCCGATACATTTTCAAACAACGCAGAGATTGGGTGTTCAAAACTTATGTCTTTTTAACAAAAAAAATACCAGCAGGATAAATCAGAAACTCACTGAGGTTATCTCCGACTAGGAAATTATTTGATGCTGCCCAAGCTTGCAGGTTTGTGGTTGCATCCCATCCACCATTTGGACCACCAACAGTATAATTAGCAGCCATGGCCAGTCTTAGCATCATGGCCACGAGGAAAAAGCTGGTGATTGTTCTCACCATCTCGATAATAATTAGGCTATGAAACAGGAAATTGCAGAAGATGTAGGGTGTTTATCACAGAGAAAGTTTCTGAGTGTTTGGCTTCAATAGGGATTTCTTTTATAGAGACACAACTGACAAAAGAGAATACTTGTAGGAATGAAGATAATACTATCAATTAATGGTTTCCAAGTTGGATTCGGTTCAACTGTTATGGCAATGTAATGACAGGTTGTTTAGTATCTTATGATATTTTTTCTCACCCTGCAAGAGGTGGATTGTTGTGCTCGCCATGATCTGCTAGAAGTTTAGGTGCAGCTTTCCTCTCATTTGACTTGGTGTACTTTAATAATATCAAAACATGCTACTTGCTTGAACCACCTGGGAAATCAACAGCTTGTTATATGCATCAGGTGTTATAAATCAGAGGGAATTAGGGATAATTCTGCTGACAAACTAAAACTTCTGTTACTGATCTTAGAACGTTCAAGCGCGCGCCTGCAGGTAAAGGAAAGCCTCGCAAGCCAAAACCTGGCTTCTTGAATAAGTCGAACATGTTTCAACCATATGGAAGTTGAGGGAAGTTGGCTAATGTAATTCTTACGAAATGACCATGCTTGTCAAATTGCGCTCGTTCACATATGCAGACATAGATGGAAGTAGCAGGAGACAGATTCCAAGTGAGGCCAAGAAGTCAAATAATCCATGGAGTGGTTAGTGGCGTCCATGTGAAAGAAGGGATGGCTTTCCTTTGAGGTGCACCTAATCCAAGCATGATCCTACAAGACAAGGAAATACATGAGTAGTGGTAGTGCTCTGGGAATATTTTAAAGCTTCCATGAGTTACGGGATGGGGAAGGCTGGATTGTCTATGGTATTAGCCTGCTTATTATGCCGTGAAGACAACTAGACATGATCAGCTTGCTGGTCAACTAAGGCAGTGATGGCAACTATTTGTGTTTTCTTCCATGACATCGCCCCGCTTATTGAATTGTCCATGGAATTGGACCAGTCGTTCTTCATTGGCTTGAAATTTATGTTATGAATTATTTTTTTAAGAAAATGATATGAGTTATTTTCACTAAACATGTAGTTAATCAGGTCAGTTACCTTTTCTGATAGTTGAGCAGGAATCAGATTTCTGGACACTAGGATATTATTTGCATGTTGCATTGATTCATTTGCAGATTGATGATGATCTCAGTCCCATTTGTAGATATTAATGCAAAATAACAATAATTAACTGTTTTTCAAGAATGTTTCATTCGAATTCAGAAAACATCAGATACATTGAAAGAAATACAAGGAAAGTATGCTCATGCTCAAGCATAAAGTATTAACTAAAAATTTGAGTGTCTGGTGAATTTCTTTCAATGCTTAGATAGCAAGAAGTATCGTCATGATAACCAGGCTGATGCCCATTGTGAGACTGCTTTGCAAACTTTCTTCGCTAGCTGATGATGGGAGAGGTGTTTTCATAAAACCATCTATAGAAGGGG